ACACACACACACACACACACACACACACACACACACACACACACACAGCACACACACACACACACACACACACACACACACCAGTTTGCCCTCTTTATACTGTTCATTTGACCTTCTATTCCTCCATGGACATGCATCACCTCCACATCTAAACCCCTCCAGCTCTTTCCCTGATAGACAATCATGCCTTTAATCTACCATCACCTTTGTGATTGTATTCTTCTGTGAGGTCACACAACATAAAGTAGATACGAGCCCCTTTCAGCCAGTTCAAGGTGGGACTGTTATTCTGTGTGAAAGGAGGGCTCGTAATGTTCACTTTCCAGAACCAACAGAAACTTTTGTAAATGAGTCCTCTCAGTGACAGGCTGGTAATTATAAAGACACGTTCTTTGTTTAAACATTTATTTTGAATCATACTTTGTGTCATCTTGCTGTGTTGTTGATCCTTTTTTGTTCAAATTCCCTTTTCACGGTCTAACGTGTGCTGTTTGAGTGGGCGAGTGCGTGGATCCATCCAGCTCCCACCCGTGGCCCTCTTGGCAGCCGCTGCTTCCTCGATCACCACAGCAACTAACTGCTGGGTCATATTTACCCAGGAGGCCATGCTGGCATCGGCGTAGGTGGACGCAATCAAACTGAATGGGCTCTTCCCTTCCAGTAGCTCATTACTGCCTCACTAAATCTTTACCCCCTTCCTCTCTGTTGCTCTCATTTCCTTTTCCCTCCTCCTCCTCCTGTGAACGGTGGAAAGCCAGATTACACGGACCGCTACAGAGCCGGAGCTTTACTGGAAGCAAAAGCACTTTTCCACACCAACACATGTTTATAATTTCATCACCTCATCAGAACTTTGAGCGGCACCGTTATTTCCTCCGCAACAACTCACAGCCAATCATTTAGGCAACGTTAACGCGAGATGGAAATAAGTTGGCCCTATCATTCATCAAGATTAGGTGAGACCACAGCTCACATCTCTGTTTGGATACGAGGCTAAGTACAAATCTAAATGACAGCACAGGAAAAGGCAGCCTTCAGACCGATCAGTATTGCCCCCACGGTTCACCGAAGGTTGAAATACTTCACTTATTTTCTACTGATGAAGCAGTCAGTCCCGTAAAGTGACCCTTATTTCCTCAGCTTGTTGTAAATGTGATCTTATCAAATCAAATCGGCTGAAAACACATTCAAAGCATGCGTGCACTGCATTCATTAAGACGTTCACACAAACGACGAAACTTTGTGTACTTCTTATCCAATTTTGCACTCCAATCAATTCAAACAACTGCACACAGTCGTTCTCGTGGGTGCACAAAACCAAATCTCACTTTAGAACAGCAGGGTTCCCTTTGCTGCTCACATTTTATCCCCCACGAGGATTAAAAAAAACTAAAAACAACCTCATTCTTCACATTCCAGAGCAACCCCCCCCTCTCCCTCCATCGCCACAAAAGACCCAATCGTTACAATAACCCCCCCGTTATCGACCTCATTTAACCTCAGTGTCCCCCTCCTGACTGTACCTCTCAGATTATTGTTCTCTTTTAATACCCATACATGTAATCTACTGTAAACTATTCACACCTTCCGTCTATGGAGTTTCCCATTCATAGTAAATAAATAGATTCTTTATTCGCCATCGGCCAAAAGATTGGGACGATACACGGTATTCTCAGAGCTCTACATGGTCGAGAAAGCATGTTACACAAAGCAAAGCACTGCTGTCCGCCTTAGAAAATGATCAGCGATAATGTGGACTGTAAACGATTTGTAGTTATTGGGCAAAATCATGCAAAAAGAACAGCACAGTCAGCGTAACAGCAATTCTTTTCACGGTTTTAACGAGTCTAACGGGTCTAACTAAACCACCAAACACGTTCTCCCCCCCCCCCCCCATCCTCAAACCCCAGTGTTCAAAAACATTCCTCACACAAGTATCATAATTATGTCCATTTATTGTCAATGGTCCTCAGCAATATGGCTCCAGTTCAATGCAGTTGGACCCAAAGTCTAACCCACTAATTGCCCTCCTAATTGTTGCAAATTGCTGGTTCAATGTTGAGTCCGTGCATCAGCCAGCTGTCAAACAATCCATAATTACATTCACACGTATGCTCATTAATCTCATGCCTGTGATAACATGGGCAAAGATAGCGAAAAGGAAAAGTTGACAACCGCCCCCTATAAATGTATTATTTATTCAAGTACAGAGGAACTCGCTGACCACTCCATGTCCATGCATAATTTAAAGAATTTTGCAGATTAAAGAAAAAAAAATGGAACTTTTTGATCAAGAACAAGCGGCTCTAAATGAAACAAAAAGTGGTACAAAAATGGGAGTTTGCTTGAATTGCCTGATTTTCAATCTTTTTGGATCTTTGGATGCAACACATTTTTTCCACATTGGGGCTCAAGCTCTCACAATATGCTTCATAAAAGAAGTCGTTAAAACGCAACTGCACACAATGAAAATTCTAGCGTCATGGCAACCGCTTCACACACA